GCTGTTTAGTGAGGCCCTGAGACTCCAAGAGGTCCCTCGGAAACTAACGTCCATGCTTTCTACATTGACAGCATTGTGCCACGTGCCACAAGTCTCGGGCGACTGTTCGGAAGCGGGCTTCCGCTGCCTGAGTGATGCCTGCCTCCAACTAGAATGAGACACGACTTCCCTATAAACATGCAGGGGGCGTTGCTAGAAGAAGTTTATTTCGAGTTTGGGCTGGTCTCTGTTCCACGCTTTCCGGGTGCTGTAAACCGCTTTCTCAAGTTTCCGCAGGGAACCCGGTCGTCCTTCCGCACGGGCCGCAACAATCAGAACGTGCCCGGGCACTCGAATTATGCCCTGGCTCTTGGGACATGCCGCTATCACATTGTGGAGCCACACACTTGTGGGCGCTTACGGCTTGTTTATTTACACCCTCAAAAAATCCATGCCGCACCTCGATTTTTCTGCTTTCATACCCGACGATCCCGCGCCGCCCGTTTGCAAGCTAACCACGCACGAGTCCAAAGTCCCACATATGGCGCCTGTATGTTTGGTTAAGGGGGCACTTATGGAGCAAAAGGACGTGCTTAATAGTTTGGATGGCTATTGGTTGATGTTCTTCAGTTTGGTTGCTAGGGGCTTTGTGCTTTCAAGCAGAAAACACATGCAGCCGAAAAGCTTCGTTTTGCTTGCGTTGGACTTAGCTCGATCTTTCGATCGCTCTGTGTCTGTGCAAGTGCCATGTGAACAGACACAGCAAGTTCGAGTTTGGCAGTGGAAAACCACCCTTAGGCACAACTTTATCACTTAGCTAAAGAAGGACCATGCAAGAGTGGCAAGTGGATTTTTAATAGTTGTGGAGTGCAACACTTCGCTGTATGTCCAATTGATAAGGTTGGCTTTCTTGGAGCAAATGTCAGAGATTTGCGTAATGCTATGCAGCAGTCTTGGCATCCCATGAAGGGAGGCGACACTTGCATCTACTTCTTTTTTTCCATTGCCATTGATTGCGGTTGGTGGACCTGCCTCTGGACATTGAAAAAAATTCTGGATCTGCTGCAGAAGCTAACGAATCTTGACAGTTTCAATTCTATGTCAAGAGAAGCCTTGCAGCAACACGTCAAGTACATCATTAAGACATCGACGCAAAACGATCCGCTTCTTCTCTTGCCTTTCCTGGCTCCGCAGCTACCGTTTTGCAGCTATGAATACAAGGCAGTCCGCAGTCCGCGACTCTGCAGCAAGCTCTACACCATTTGCTTAAAGAGCAAGGCAGACGCTGAGCACTTTGCAGCGGAGAAGACCATGGAAGAAGTCCGCATCCTGTCCAATGAAGTGCCACAAGTGCCGAGCGAGATATTTTTGGCTAGCAGAGATGAGACTGAGCGCCAGACATGGCTTTATTTGATCCTGTTGGCCCAGCTGCGTGTACCTTGCCACCGTCCCTTATGAACACCCGCTGAAGCAGGGTTTGCCTACCCGCGGATCTGTTCGAAGTTTTCACAGGCGGCAGGCTGGAGATGATGGCAGTAGAAGTCTTAACAAATGGCGAAGATTTGCCGTCAAATCCATCAAATTTGCTAAATTGACTTTTCTGCTGTAGGGACTTGAGATTTAACTGGTTTGAAGGATTTGATGGGTTGACTTGGCTCAAAGTTGACAAGATAAGCGAAGGCGACATCTTCAGACTGCCCAGGGCACTCCTTAGGTTTG